ATACCATAGTTTCTGTCTCCCCTGGGCCGCCTGGAGATTCTCCCTTACCATCAGGGATAGTTTCTTCATGCGGTCCCGGAGTTCCAGGACATATGGTACTATGGGGGTCCCTTCTTGCTGTCTCCCCCTCCCAGTGTCCTCTAATGAGATCTAGGGGTCCACGGACCCTTCTCCCATAGAGTAACTCAAAGGGGGAGAACCCAGTAGATTCCTGGGGCACCTCTCTGTATGCAAATAGCAGATGAGGCAGGAATCGCTCCCAGTCTCTGCAAGTGTCAGTAAAGGTCCTCAACATCTGTTTGAGGGTGCCATTAAATCGCTCGCAGAGACCGTTAGTCTGTGGGTGATACGGTGAGCTAAGCAGAGGTTTAATACCGCACACCTTCCACAGCTGCTGGGTAAGCACAGCGGTGAACTGAGTGCCCTGATCGGAGAGAATCTCCTGAGGGAACCCAACCCTAGTGAAAATCTTAACCAGGGCATCAGCAACCGTCTCTGCCTCTATATTAGACAGTGCTACTGCCTCTGGATAACGTGTGGCATAGTCCACCACGGTGAGAATATACTTCTTACCTGATGGGCTAGCCCTGGCCAGTGGACCCACAATGTCAACGGCTATGCGGGAAAAGGGTTCGCCAATGATAGGCATTGACTGAAGCCTAGCTTTTGGGTGATCCCCCCACTTACCTACCCGTTGACAGGTGTCACACGTGCTACAATAAACCTGCACATCTCGGTTAAAATTGGGCCAGAAGAAGTTTTGTGTGATTCTATGAGCTGTGCGACGGGAACCTAGATAGCCTGCTAATGGCACATCATGCCCAATCCGCAGAATCTCCTGCCGGTATTTTGCAGGTACCACTAGCTGTCGATTCTGCAGAGGGGTACTCGGCTTCTGGGACGTTTTCGGGATCCTGTACAGTCTATCCCCCACCCACTCATAGTGCTCCCCATCTACTCCTTCTCCCCCAGAATCGGCCCTGGCCCTGTACTTTGCTAGCGTCGGGTCTTCCCTGGTTTCCTTCCCGTACATCTCTGGGGTATCCCAGCCTTAAGGGGCCTGGTCTAAGGTACAAGTCGGGGTAGAGAGTCTTACCTGGGTCTCAACAGCAGGTGGGCCGGTCTCGGCGGCACGGGTCTGGGCATGGGTCGTGACAGCATCCACTTCAGCGGGACCCATGGGAGCGAAGGCTGAAACAAGGGGCGCCAAGTCATTGCCAAGGAGGACATCTGTGGGTAAGTCCTTCATGACCCCCACATTCACATGTCTAGCGCCCACTCCCCAATCCAAGTGTACCCGAGCAACGGGTAGACGGAACACGGCTCCCCCGGCTACTCGCACTGCGACCGTGTCCCCGGTATGTTGGGCTTCGGATACCAGGTGCTTCTGGAGCAAGGTCATTGTTGCACTGGTATCCCGTAGACCACTGACCTCCTTCCCGTTTACTTTCACACACTGCCGGTGGTGCTGTCTGTTATCCCGGTGGGCAGCCTGAACGGGATCTGCCTCATGCAGGATGCCCCAGCACTCCTCTTCCTCTACACAGTGAGCGGCTGGGAGGGGAGGTTGTGGATTGCCGCCTGCTGGTCTCCTCCAGGACTGGTTCTGGTTGGCGCTGTTCATAGGGCATGTAACGGACCGTTTCTCTCACAAGGGGATAAAATCGGTTTAGGCGATAATCCCCTTTCCCATAGACCAGCAGCTACTGCAATCACCAACCTCCTGAACTCCAAACTGCACGTATTCACCAACTCTCGAACAGCAGACACAGGAACCCTGGAAGCAGCCGAACAGGAAAAAGCAATACAAACGGCTTACACTCCTGGCAGTCAGCACACAATCCAATTCCCCCAATAACGAGACGACACTTCGTTTTGAGGGTTAAGCAGAATCTGAGGTGCTGGCACACCCAGCCTGGTTTTTATTACAGTGTTTTCAATTACAGGACCGCCCACAGGGAGGTATAAAACAACCAATAACATCACAGTTACATCCCACATATTCCCTCCCCTTATCCTGAGAGGAAACTCAATTATACATACAGTTAAAACATACTTTCTACCCAACTTTCATAACTCTAAAACCATACATCACATTCACATAAAATTACACATTCACAATCAATCCATTCAGGGGAACAACATATTAAAAAATGGCACAAATCAGACAAGGGGTTCAAAAGTTAGTAAAAAGTCCTTTGTGACTAAATGAAGCATGGCTTTCTGGCCCAAACCAGTTTCAGAGTCTTCTATCCTGGAGATAAGTAATTCAATTATCTCCCAGGACAGACACAAGACTCCATTAAGCACATGGTTGCAAAAAGACACAAAACACTTTAAAATACATAAAGTCACCTTTTATACATAAAACACAGACATTTCACATATCCCCAGATAGCTCAGGTCTGAGCGCACATTATTAAGTGAATGGCGCTCAGACCACACGAATACAGTTTAATCGCCATGGAGCCAAAGTCTTTACAGTCAGTTTCATACAAATGGGCTCCATGGGATTCCTATCTGGGGTATAACACATTCAAACACATCTACCGAACCCCAGGCAGAAAAGCACGAATACAGCTTTTCTGCAGGCAAAAATAAAGTCTTTTAAAAGGGGGCCATAGTCAGATGGCAGGAGGCTGGCAACCAGGCTTCTCCAGTGCACAGTGGCGAGGTTGGTTTCGCCACACTTCTCCCCTTTACCAATCAGACTAACAGGGTATCTGACCTCCTGCCGGTCAGTGCCCTTGTTAGTCCAGCAGCCCACCCACAAAACACAATCAGTAATACAGCCCACCCACAATAACTGGCTACTACACCTGGGTAGAGGAGAACTTTGTCCGTGTCCAGGTGCCTCACCATGGCTGTGTGGGTGACTGGTCAGCGTACTGGGTGGGTTGCTGAGTGGGCAGAGACCAGCGGTACTCTGTCCTGGTGCCAGCACTACCACGGGAGTAGTCTGGTTGGAGCCTGGTTGCTGGAGGGGGGGACAGACTGTCTCCCCTTTGCCTAAACAGTCCTGCTGCTGGGGGACAGGACCGACTGTTCCTACCCCCGGTGGTGCATGTGCAGAGACCACTGTCCCCTCTGCACTGTTGTGGAGATTACTGTCTCCCCTTGGTGGGCTAAGCTGCCGCTGGGGAGAGGGGGTAACAAGCTCCTCTCCCATACATACTTTCAGCCGCTGGGGAGAGGGGATAACAAGCTCCTCTCCCTGACACTCTCTCTGCTGTTGAAGGGGGAGACCGACTGTCTCCCCTTTCAATAATTTGTCCTGTTGCTGGGGAGAGGTGATAACTGGTTCCTCTCCCTGGAACACTCTCTGCTGTTGGAGGGGGGGACCAACTGTCTCCCCTTTTAATATATTGCCCTGCTGCTGGGGAGCGAGACCGACTGTCTCCGCTTCCTGCAGAACACACTGCCGCTGGGGAGGGAGGACGACACCTTCAGCTCCCTGGGGTACACACTGCCGCTGGGGAGGAAGGACGGCACCTTAAGCTCCCTGGGGTACACACTGCCGCTGGGGAGGAAGGATTGCACCTTCAGCTCCCTGGGATACACACTGCCGCTGGGGAGGAAGGACGGTACCTTCAGCTCCCTGGGATACCCACTGCCGCTGGGGAGGAAGGACGGCACCTTCTGCTCCCTGGGACACACACTGCCGCTGGGGAGGAAGGACGACACCTTTGGCTCCCTGGGACTCACACTGCCGCTGGGGAGGAAGGATGGCACCTTCTGCTCCCTGGGGTACACACTGCCGCTGGGGGGAAGGACGACACCTTTAGCTCCCTGGGATACACACTGCCGCTGGGGAGGAAGGACAACACCTTTGGCTCCCTGGGACACACACTGCCGCTGGGGAGGAAGGACGACACCTTCAGCTCCCTGGGGTACACACTGCCGCTGGGGAGGAAGGACTGCACCTTCAGCTCCCTGGGGTACACACTGCCGCTGGGGAGGAAGGACTGCACCTTCAGCTCCCTGGGGTACACACTGCCGCTGGGGAGGAAGGACGCACCTTCAGCTCCCTGGTATACACACTGCCGCTGGGGAGGAAGGATGACACCTTCAGCTCCCTGGGATACACACTGCCGCTGGGGAGGAAGGACGGCACCTTCAGCTCCCTGGGATACACACTGCCGCTGGGGAGGAAGGACGGCACCTTTGGCTCCCTGGGACTCACACTGCCGCTGGGGAGGAAGGACGGCACCTTTGGCTCCCTGGGACTCACACTGCCGCTAGGAGAAGGACGACACCTTTGGCTCCCTGGGATACACACCGCCGCTAGAGGAAGGACGGCACCTGGCTCCCCTGGGACACACACTGCCGCTGGGGGAAGGACCCACACCTTGGCTCCCTGGGACACACTGCTGCTGGGGAGGAAGGACGACACCTTTGGCTCCTGGGTACACACTGCCGCTGGGAGGAAGGACGACACCTTTGGCTCCCTGGGCTACACACTGCTGCTGGGGAGGAAGGACGACACCTTTGGCTCCCTGGGCTACACACTGCCGCTGGGGAGGAAGGACGACACCTTTGGCTCCCTGGGCTACACACTGCTGCTGGGGAGGAAGGACGACACCTTTGGCTCCCTGGGCTACACACTGCTGCTGGGGAGGAAGGACGACACCTTTGGCTCCCTGGGACACACACTGCCGCTGGGGAGGACGGACGACACCTTTGGTGCAATCTGCCACGGCCTGCAGGTACTCTGCTACATGTCCCCTCACGCGCTGCACAAATTCCTCAGAGGGGACAAATGTAACGAGAGCCAGCCGCAATTGAAGCTCTCGGTCAAACTCCTCCTGAGTGTAGCTGGGCGCCATGTTTGCTCTGCCGAAGTTGGTTCCTTTGTAGATAGGGTCGCTGTACGGGTACTAACGTTGCCCTCAATTGTAATCCAGGCACTGGTGTTGTCTTGTAGCTGTCCTTCTGGTTGTAGGAACGATCCCGCTGCTTGCCACCAATTGTAACGGACCGTTTCTCTCACAAGGGGATAAAATCGGTTTAGGCGATAATCCCCTTTCCCATAGACCAGCAGCTACTGCAATCACCAACCTCCTGAACTCCAAACTGCACGTACTCACCAACTCTCGAACAGCAGACACAGGAACCCTGGAAGCAGCCGAACAGGAAAAGCAATACAAACGGCTTATACTCCTGGCAGTCAGCACACAATCCAATTCCCCCAATAACGAGACGACACTTCGTTTTGAGGGTTAAGCAGAATCTGAGGTGCTGGCACACCCAGCCTGGTTTTTATTACAGTGTTTTCAATTACAGGACCGCCCACAGGGAGGTATAAAACAACCAATAACATCACAGTTACATCCCACATATTCCCTTCCCTTATCCTGAGAGGAAACTCAATTATACATACAGTTAACATACTTTCTACCCAACTTTCATAACTCTAAAACCATACATCACATTCACATAAAATTACACATTCACAATCAATCCATTCAGGGGAACAACATATTAAAAAATGGCACAAATCAGACAAGGGGTTCAAAAGTTAGTAAAAAGTCCTTTGTGACTAAATGAAGCATGGCTTTCCGGCCCAAACCAGTTTCAGAGTCTTCTATCCTGGAGATAAGTAATTCAATTATCTCCCAGGACAGACACAAGACTCCATTAAGCACATGGTTGCAAAAAGACACAAAACACTTTAAAATACATAAAGTCACCTTTTATACATAAAACACAGACATTTCACATATCCCCAGATAGCTCAGGTCTGAGCGCACATTATTAAGTGAATGGCGCTCAGACCACACGAATACAGTTTAATCGCCATGGAGCCAAAGTCTTTACAGTCAGTTTCATACAAATGGGCTCCATGGGATTCCTATCTGGGGTATAACACATTCAAACACATCTACCGAACCCCAGGCAGAAAAGCACGAATACAGCTTTTCTGCAGGCAAAAATAAAGTCTTTTAAAAGGGGGCCATAGTCAGATGGCAGGAGGCTGGCAACCAGGCTTCTCCAGTGCACAGTGGCGAGGTTGGTTTCGCCACAGGGCACTCAGGTCGCTTGTGCCCTAGCTGCTTGCACAGGTAGCAACGAATGGGTTGAGTGTACTCTCGTGAATTAAACCGAGGTGGCTGTTGGTAGGGGGCAGATGGAGGAGGTGCTGATGGGCGATTCATGGGAGGCTGGTATAGGTTGGCTGCTGGTGGTGCTGCTGGCCTGTACTCCACTCTTGCGGGAGCCTTGCTGATGAGACTGTCCAGTTTGCGGGCGTCAGTATACTCATCCGCCAGGCGAGCTGCTTCGTGCAGAGTGGAGGGTTTACGGTCCCTTACCCACGCTCTGACCCCTGCTGGCAATTTATCAAAACAATGTTCCAAAAGAAACATCTGCAGTACCTCTTCTCCGGACACAGCCTGGCACCCCGCCATCCAGTGGGCAGCTGTGCGATGCACCTTACAGGCCCATTCCACGTATGAGTCCCCAGAGGTCTTGACAGTGTCTCGGAACCTCCTCCGGTACGCCTCAGGTGTAACGGCATACCGGGAGAGTAAAGCTTCCCTGACGGCCACATAATCCCCAATCTCTTCATCAGGAATGGCCCGAAAAGCCTCGCTGGCCCGGCCGGATAACTTGCCAGACAATATAGTAACCCAGTCTTCCAGGGGTACCTTGTGCAGGGCACATTGCCACTCAAAATCAGCAAGGTACCCATCAATCTCTCCTTCCGTTTCACTGAAGGCTTTAAATGCAGTAAACGGCACTTTCTTTCTTTCCCCCAGGTTTGCTGTGACTGGGGCTGCTGCAGCACCGCTTTGGCGAAGCAGGTTGGCCTCCACAGCGGCCATGACCTGGGTGATGACTTCTGTAGATGGGTTGGGACCATAATGTGCCAGCCTGATTCTTACCGCCCGGTCAAAGCTTGCTTCCTCGGGGGTTCTGTCAGCTGTGCTGGGTCCATTGGTTCCCTCTGCCGCTGGTACTCCATCCATTTCCAGCAATAATGCAATAATATCCCTCTTCTTGAGGTTACTGGCTTTTCCGCCTCTTTGTTCCAATAAATCTTTTAGGGTAGCTCTTCTCAGGTTCTGGTATTGTAATTCCATTTAATCCTGGTTGTAGTGGTCTCTTTGGACGCTGAGGATCATCCCGTCGCTTGCCACCAGTTGTTACGGTACCTCCAGTAATAAATGTACAAACCGCCGTTTAGTGAATGCTCCCCGTTCGCATTAATGTAGGCTGGTAGCGTATGCAGTATAATCATGTGAACCGCCAGCCAGGGAACACTCCAAACTCCCGAACGGTACCTGTATGGCTCTTTCCCTTCACGAGCTGCAAATCCACGAACTGACAATATTAGCCGAACGCCAATACCTTCTGTAACGGACCGTTTCTCTCAAACGGGGATAAAATCCGTTTAGGCGATAATCCCCTTTCCATAGACCAGCAGCTACTGCAATCACCAACCTCCCGAACTCCAAACTGTACGAATACCCAACTCACGAACAAGAAATACACGAACTCTGGAAGCAGCCGAACAGGAAAAGCAATACGAACAGCTTACACTCCTGGCAGTCAGCACACAATCCAATTCCCCCAATAACAAGACGACACTTCGTTTTGAGGGTTAAGCAGAATCTGCCAGATTTATTCACACAGCCTCCTTTTAAGACATTCTCCCATGCAAGGGAGGGATCCACAACAATTAGTACCCCAGCCAATAATGTACCAGTTACCTCCCACACCTCTCCTCCCCTTAGTGTGACACATAATCCCATTAGTACAGACACAAATTCCCTGGGAGACTGGATGTACCCCTAAACATAGGAATACCCCTTTAAATGTTACATCCCCTGGTAACCCTGATCTGGGTGAGACACATATCCAAAAATCACCCAGATCGGACCAGGGGTTCAGGAATTATAAAGGGTTAAAGTTTTGACCGACTGCATGGCAAAAGTATCCGAAAATAGTTCCATGTATTTTGGCCCTGCAGTCGGTCACAGAAAAGGGAATGAATCACACGAATTGCCTGGGTTACAGAGCTTGGGGAGGATTCGTATGAATCCCCCTGTTCGTGGGATCCTTTCTACCGAACGGCGGGCCGTTCGGTAGTTTCTGCACGAATTGCTGGAAGTCTGGAGGTCTCAGCGGTGTTTGCTTAGCCGAGTGTCCGATTTTAGTTCCAGACACTCGACGGCAAAACACCGCTGTTCGGGAGTTTAAGATGGCCGCCGCCACGTGTTCGTTTCCCGAATGGCGGCCACCCAGAGGACACAACACACATTACACATATTGCCAATTACCCGTTTGCAACAATGTTGCAAACGGTAATTGGAGGCACACTTACTCCCGGGTGGTCTGGTTGTTCGGTAGTTTCACCCAATATAATGAATGAAGTGATTCTACCGAACAATCAGGGGAATGCTGCATTCACATAACACTTTACACCGAACACATAATATTAAATACAGCCTGAATGCAATTTGCTACACAGTCTTAAAAAAAGGCATTATTCCTAACAGGCAGAATATGTTCACGGAGGGCCCTTAAAGGGCCAGTAGCAGCAATATAAGAATGTCACATGCCCAAATATTGCATACAAAAGTACGACTTCACAAGGGGGGCCATAGTCAGATGGCAGGAGGCTGGCAACCAGGCTTCTCCAGTGCATAGTGGCGAGGTTGGTTTCGCCACACTTCTCCCCTTTACCAATCAGACTAACAGGGTATCTGACCTCCTGCCGGTCAGTGCCCTTGTTAGTCCAGCAGCCCACCCACAAAACATAATCAGTAATACAGCCCACCCACCATAACTGGCTACTACACCTGGGTAGCGGAGAACTTTGTCCGTGTCCAGGTGCCTCACCATGGCTGTGTGGGTGACTGGTCAGCGTACTGGGTGGGTTGCTGAGTGGGCAGAGACCAGCGGTACTCTGTCCTGGGGCCAGCACTACCATGGGAGCAGTCTGGTTGGAGCCTGGTTGCTGGAGGAGAAGACAGACTGTCTCCCCTTTGCCTAAACAGTCCTGCTGCTGGGTGACAGGACCGACTGTCCCTACCCCCGGTGGTGCATGTGCAGCGACTACGGTCCCATCTGCACTGTTGTGGAGATTACTGTCTCCCCTTGGTGGGCTAAGCTGCCGCTGGGGAGAGGGGGTAACAAGCTCCTCTCCCATACATACTTTCAGCCGCTGGGGAGAGGGGATAACAAGCTCCTCTCCCTGACACTCTCTCTGCTGTTGAAGGGGGAGACCGACTGTCTCCCCTTTCAATAATTCGTCCTGTTGTTGGGGAGAGATGATAACTGGTTCCTCTCCCTGGAACACTCTCTGCTGTTGGAGAGGGGGACTAACTGTCTCCCCTTTTAATATATTGTCCTGCTGCTGGGGAGCGAGACCGACTGTCTCCGCTTCCTGCAGGACACACTGCCGCTGGGGAGGAAGGACGGCACCTTCAGCTCCCTGGGGTACACACTGCCGCTGGGGAGGAAGGACGGCACCTTCAGCTCCCTGGGGTACACACTGCCACTGGGGAGGAAGGACTGCACCTTCAGCTCCCTGGGGTACACACTGCCGCTGGGGAGGAAGGACTGCACCTTCAGCTCCCTGGGGCACACACTGCCGCTGGGGAGGAAGGACTGCACCTTCAGCTCCCTGGGATACACACTGCCGCTGGGGAGGAAGGACTGCACCTTCTGCTCCCTGGGGGACACACTGCCGCTGGGGAGGAAGGACGGCACCTTCTGCTCCCTGGGATACACACTGCCGCTGGGGAGGAAGGACGGTACCTTCAGCTCCCTGGGATACACACTGCCGCTGGGGAGGAAGGACGGTACCTTCAGCTCCCTGGGATACACACTGCCGCTGGGGAGGAAGGACGGCACCTTCTGCTCCCTGGGACACACACTGCCGCTGGGGAGGAAGGACGGCACCTTCTGCTCCCTGGGGTACACACTGCCGCTGGGGAGGAAGGACTGCACCTTCTGCTCCCTGGGACACACACTGCCGCTGGGGAGGAAGGACGGCACCTTCTGCTCCCTGGGGTACACACTGCCGCTGGGGAGGAAGGACGGCACCTTTCGCTCCCTGGGGTACACCTATGAGTCCCCGTAACGCACTCTGCCTCCGGATAGGGCGGCTGATACCTTTGGCTGGATCTGCCATGAACTCCAGGTACTCGTCTACCTGGCTCCTTACGAACTGCACGTATTTCTCCGGGGGTTGGGTCCAAAGAAAGCCAGCCGCATAGCAAACTCTCTGTCATACTGCTCCTGAGTGTAGCTAGGTGCCATGCTTGCGCTGCTGAAGTTGGTTCTTTTGTCGATAGGGTCGCTGTACGGGTACTGGCGTTGCCCTCACTTTGTAATCCAAGGAATGGTGTTGCCCTGTAGCTGTCTTTCTGGTTGTAGGAACGATCCCGCCGCTTGCCACCAATTGTAACGGACCGTTTCTCTCACAAGGGGATAAATCCGTTTAGGCGATAATCCCC